ACGGCAAGCTTAGTCTATTCCTCACCTAAATAATATACAATAATTACACCTGCGAATTGAAGTTGCAGCTGACTAGATTCGAAGAAGGCCAGGAATTTTTTAAAGAGTTCGCGCAATTTTGTAATTCAAAGATGTAAAACGTCTGTGGAAACGGAAGGAGAATACATAGCACATTCATTATAAATAAAATAATAATAAAATAACAATACTGATACGATAAGATACTCGTTGTGTACGTATCGTGTGGTTTATTTACCACGTATGATCAACAGAAACATACAAATAATTTGCGTAAAATTGGGAAATGTTTTTTCATAGTGGAAAGGTTGACTTTTCGATCTTGTCTTGGTGAGCATTTTTCATTCAGTGAGATGAGTATTATCTATTCTGAGAGAGAGAGAGAGAGGGAGAAAGAGAGAGAGAGAGAGTCTGGAACCTTTTTTGAACACTTGTACAAATATAGTTGCTAATAACTCAAAAGTTGACGAGATTCACAATAAAAAAAATATATGGATGTCGGTGGAGCACTTGCAATTCTGATCGAACTCGTTGTCGCGATAATCCGTCGATCAAAAGTGATCTCTGACACCTTAAACCGAGCACCATCGATGCTCAAGATACTCAATACTTCGGGCTTCGTGACGTACGGAAGTTCATATTACCGAAGAAAAAAGGAGAGAACGCTAGAAAAAAGGAAATAAACTATCACATGATGAGCAATTTGAACGAACAACTTGCGACAAGTCGGCTTCGGCACGGCGTTAGTATTCGACGTTCTAGTTCTCTACGATCCTTTTTTTTTTTATGGCAAAGAGGAGTAAACCGCGATGTAAAGCGAACTAGTCGAAGAAGATGCCGGATACATTCCCGTTTCGCAAGGTAGCGCGGATTTTGACGCCGCGCCGTATAAAGCCGCCGTTTTATGTTCCACCCTCGTCACGGCGAGGATAACGCCGCCGTTCGTCTAGACGCAACAGCACTTCGCTCTCTCGGTATACTTGCTTTTCACGGTGGATTTTATTAGCCGTGAGAGCGCCGGCCGCGACGTCCGCGCGGACGTGTTACGCGCGAAATTATGATTCATAAATTACGGCGGGTCCGATGCGCGATGGAGCGTGCGCGGGAGCAACGGTGCCGCTGCGCCGCTTCCACGATAGCCGCGATAGACTCGATAATTCTTAATTATCGGCCGCGGCTAACGATTTATGCGAATACTGGCCCGAAGCGTATTAACCCCTTGCGCTGTGCCGTTCAATTGGCGGGCTTGGGCGGATAAGTATTATTTAAGGTCTATTTAAGTCCTCTTCTGGAAAGAAAGCAAATATATATCATGGAACTCAGAAGGTCCCATTTTGTGGCTTGGCAATCTCGCAGAATGTTTTTAATCCCTTAGCTATCGATGACGGAAATATCCGCACATCCAAAAGAAAAAGAAAAATATTTACTAGGAGTGTGTTTTAATTTTGAGCATTTTGCAAGAGATGACACTGATATTAGTTTTATTGAAGACATTTCAATTACAGCTATTGTTTCTTGATGCTTTAATATTAATTCATGATATTTAATCATTTGCCATCAACAGATGCAATAAAATTCGTGTTAATCTTAAAAATGGTGCTTCCTAAAGAGCATTTTCGACATGCATTGCTGTTGTTTTTTAATCAGAAGAAAACGGTGGCTGAAAGTCATAGAATTCTGGTAGAAACTTATGGTAATGTTCTATCAATTAAGACATGTGAATATTGCTTCAGATGATTCAAAAGCGGTGATTTCAATGTTAATAACAAAGACCGCTCGAGACAAACAAAAAAGCTTGAAAATGGAGATTTGCAAGCATTATTGGATGAAAATCCAGCACGACAATCCACTTCAGAACTTGTCGAAACATTAAATATTGATCGTACAACAGTTACATGATGTGGAAACGATTCATAAAGAAGGAAAATGGATTTTACATCAATTATCGGAAAATGCCGTTGCGAACCGGTTGAACGTTTGCATTTCGTTGATCGCCAGACAAGAAATGAAGAGTTTTTTGTATCGAATTGTCACTGGGGGTGAAAAACGGGTCTATTTCGAGAATCCCAAACAAATCATGGGTTGATCCAGGCCAATCAGCAACATCCACTTTGAAGCACAATATTTATGATTCAAAGATATTGCTGTGTATTTGGTGGGATCAAGAAGGTGTTGTGTACTATGAATTTAAATCCGAAATCCAAATGAAACTGTCACCGTTGATCGTTATCGACAACAATTGTACAAATTGAAGCGAGCATTGGACCAAAAACGATCATCAATTGCGAGTGAACGACGTAAAGTGATTCTTCTTCACGGCAATACTCGACCTCATGTTGCATTATCAGTGAAGCAAACGCTATCAGAACTGGAATGGCAAATTTTACCACACCTCGCGTATTCTCTAGATCAGTTTCCCAACCTTTTTTGTATTTTGCACCCCTAAAAATTTATTAATGAACCTTTGCACCCCTTACAAAAAAGACATTATTCGTATGTTCTATGGTAAAAATTAGTTGTTAGGGTTTTAAGGTAAGAAGTTAATTTATAATAATTTATCATTACATAGTATTGTTTTATAGAAATCAACTATCATTTTAATATTATAAAATTATTATCTATGGTACCAAGCTTCCCACAGTGATACGTAATGAATATATATGTACAGATGTAAAAAATATATAATTTTAATAACATTTGCTTTTAATTTGATGGTAAAAATGCCGGATTATTCCAGAATTCATCTTAATTCATTATTAATTACACAATCACTTTTCCTCATATCCTCAATAATGCTTTTTCGCATCCCCATGTGAATGTGAGCATCCCCGGTTGGGAACCCCTGCTCCAGACATGGCTCCATCCGATCGTCCCACTTGTTCCAGTCGATGCAACATGCTCTAGAAAGTACACATTTCCATAACTTCGAACAAGTGTGAAAATTTGTTGAAAATTGGATCAACTCCAAAGAAGAATCTTTTTATCGTAACGGAATCAATCTCTTGCTAGAAAGACAGGAAAAAGTTGCAGGGAACGGAGGAAAATATTTTGATTAAGGTATTCGTTTATTATCTTGTTTAAGTAAATCAGTTTCTGAGAAAAAAAAACCTTCAAAACTAAATCTTACTTCTAATATAGCGGAGCAATTGGATGCTATATTTTCGCAGTCGCTGAATTCAAATTCGAGGTGAGAATTGCGAAATTCAAAATGACGGGTCTAATATGGTGAACCGAAAATTCCAAAAATCCTTCGATTCAATTTTGATCTCAGTCATCAACTGTTTCGGCCACTTTTCTTTCTGCGAGTGTTTCCGTCATTAACAGCTAAGGGGTTAAGAGTCTCGTTATTAGAAAATAATAAAATCAAGTCGGATGTTTGTAATCGACAAGGAGCTCGTAACTGACAGGTTCAGGGCTCGCGAGAGCGCAACATCCGAGAAATATCGTTCCGACTCAGATGGTCAACGAAGGGCGTCAAGGCGGTCGTTCTGTCCGGCGATTATTTTATTTCTCGATATTCACACGGCGTCGTTCGCGCTCGAAGTGTTTTTTCTTCGTGTATGCACGCGCTTCGCGTCGACAGAGTATGGGCATTCGAATCCCCGTAACCGGCTGTATCATGAGGCGATTTATGCTCGATATTTTTTTTTATAGCACGTATCAAAAGTGCGCACGGACCAGCTTGGGAGCGGCGCGTCGAACGACGCACGCGGGGCAATAACGAATCTAATGGGAAAACGCGATATTTATTGTGCCACTGAATATTGATCGTGGCGGTTTTTCGCAGATAGTAAATCTCTCTCTCTCTCTCTCTCTCTCACTCTCCTTCGGAAACGCGTTTCATCGCTGTGCTTTCATCCGATCTTTATGAAACATTCAAATACGCGAATGTGTCGCATGTGCGAGGCTCGGTGGATCAACAATCTGACGGTGCGCTCAAAGAGAAGTCGCGTTGCGCTGCAATTGCACCTTGCGGACGCGCATTTCGCATAAATAAATAGAGATGAGTACGCTACGATTATTGAATAATCCGCGTTTCGGTTTCATTTCGCGTCTCGTTGATGCTGTTTCCATCTACGTTCCCGGGCGACGCGTCACTCTCCCCTTTCCCGCGTGCGTACTTACCACACATGCGCGCGACTCCCATTTCGGCGGATTCCCATTTCGGACTTCAATAACAAGGACACAGGCCCGAAATGGGAGTATTAATTGGCGACAATTAGCAGAGAGCCGGTTCGTCTGCGCGACACGGGAAGCCTCTCCGTCGACGGTGCGAGATGAGTTCGTTGATTGGGATAAGCAGCTGATTGTGTCGGTCGTGACGAGAAGCTCCCGTCCGTTAGCGGCGATTTCTGCTCGCGTTGCGGATTAATTACTTTCGCTACTCGATCGGCGATGATAAACCCTCCTCGGTCTACATGGTAGCGTAAACGCAGCTTCGATGCTCCAAAAGAGACTGCAGGGATTATACTCGATTCGTTCGTTTGCTTTGCTTTAATTCGGGTCTACATGTGGGGCGCTCTACATATTACGATAAGTACATTTATTAGGTCCCATCACTGCTAATTTCTACGTAATTTAGCATCGGACGTTGGCCCCTCTCTCTCTCTCTCTCTCTCTCTCTCTCTTTCTCACGTTCCCTCTTCGACGATCCTCAACGCTAGCTGTAAATTAGAATAAAAAAACTGCGTCATTAAATCGTATGGTTGCGTGCGATATACTCGTGGCCGAGAAATTCGTTTCGCCTTCATTCGTTAACGCTAAGAACGAGATTTCACAGCCCTGCTGTGACACAAAAAGTCTGACCGTGAAGAAAGGAATTCTTGTAAATTTATGACACGTTCGTCTCTTTTGCCAAGCTTTCAAGCGTCTTTTTCACTCTTTCGTCGTTTTCACGGAGGTTTAATAATCCTTCGTTCGCGCTGCGCGACGAAGGTACGGCGCGGCGGGGGGAAGGTACGGGGGATATATTGGCGCTTCCGTTATTATCTTTCGTCGCTTTATTAAATTCACAACATTAACAAGAACAATGTACACCGCGACATGTCGACGTGGCAGATTAATGATTACTGGTAACAATTATAAGTAATTGCAGCGGGCGATGAGAGAAGGATGATGGCCTACCTACGACTGACCTTACTAGGCGTATCACATTATTGAGGTAATCTGCTCCCGCAAAAGTTTCGCTGTAATTGTTCTCATTTCGTCATAATGAGGCCCGTTCTTGTCGGTTCTCAAGTCAATGTTCTCGTCAGAAGTCACATTGACCCCTCACCGCTCCGGATTGCAGCGTGCGACGCGCACCGTGCGCGCATATATTGTACGGTGCGGCAATCCCGTTAATTAAATCGCATCGTATTGCGGCATCGTATTGCCGCATCATCCGAGGAACTCGGCGACTCGCGCGAATCCGCGGGTAATAAATGAGATATATTAGCCTGCTTGCGCGCTTCGAGGCGATCCGGACGACGATCCGGATACGAGTGCGTCGGCTGTTCCTCTTTAGTCCTCAGTTCTTGAACACACGATTATTGTCCTAGAATTATTGTCCTACAGAGAAGTCTTGTTCAACGGCCTTCAATGCGTAAACCGCGCAACGCGTTTTATCCCCGCGCCGGCCGAGCGAAGTTAATTCGTTAATCGTAGCTGACTAACCGCGAATCGAAGTAGAAGCTCGCCGTGCTCACTCTCGGTCGCATAATGGAATGTCCGAGTGTGTCCGTGCGACTGCTTAAGACTCGCTGAATCGCGTGAAATCACTCAGTGGCCTCGAGGGACATTACTCCGCGCTGCTTCACTTCGGCGGTCGATAAACGGCTGACCGTTGCAAACTATCGCTACAATACTGGCATCGCGACGTGGCGATCGCTCCGTCTCAAAGGAAACTATCGGCGCCATTAACGCTTTATGCTCCGGACGTTGCCCGCGAATTGCCTCTACAAAAGGAGCATTCGCCGCATATACAGTCGCAAAGGTGCAGCATAGCGACTCGAAACCTGACGACGGAATTCCGCGAGCTCGCGCAGAAGATAACTTTGCGGAATATTAAGAGGAAGACTCATAATTTTTCCGCGAGAGAAAAATCCTCCTCTCCTCTCTTTTATCTCCCGCACATTTCGGCTTTCGTTCGGCCCATGAAGCGCCTGATCGGTTATACGTGCTCCCTTGTTGCATTTGTATTATAAATTATTTAGAAGTAATCTTATATGTATTGTGCGTAATTGCGAAATATTTATATCCCATCAGTCTCGTGATAGCGCCGGGCGCTCCTTCGCAGCGCTATCAGGATTTTGGAGAATATCTTTCGCATTATTTCCGGGACAAATTCTTTTTCAGAATTAATCTTAAAGGTTTACATCTCCTCGTCCGCGAAATGCGAAGTGAAAGAACGTTTTGAAGAATTTTCCATCCTCCTGACTGAAACGAAAAAATAGGAAGCTGCAAAACTCAATTCAATGTTGAGCTCCTTTCCATTCTCAGGTTAAGAAGGCGCTTCAGAAATATCGCTGGAATATCCTTCAACTATTTCTGTGCTACAACAGTGGTCTCGAATTTGTGTCCGTAACATCAGCGGAATATTATCACATCATTTTCAAATATCGCCGGAATAGTCCTTAGAGTCGGTATATTTCCGAAAGCGTTCCCTCGAATTATCACACTGCCGCGATATCTTCACCCCAGCCGACGTTCGCGGGAGGTTCACTCGCTGTCGGAAACACACGTGTTGCCCCGCAATCGTTCCACGTCTGCGTGAACTTCTCCGTTGCCGGTATACGACACTTGGCTGTACTCGTGGGTGTGTTGACGTCGACGTAGGTACAAGCGGACCAAGGAGCAAACTATGAGGACGATCATCAGAAAGATGTTGATCGTGAAGAAGACGGTCATTCTGTAGTACCATACTGTGGACTGCATCTTCCAGGAGAGATTGATCAGCACGCAACGTGTCCCGTTGCCGCTCGATATGAGCACCGAATCCTCGTGGCAGGCGACGCAGTCGACGTCGCTGGAACCTCTGCAAGTCTGGCACGAGTAATGGCATTCGACACAGAACGCGCCGGTCTTGTCGTGATCCCAGACCGCGTAAGTCCCGGACGGACATTCTCGCGAGCAGCCTTCGTCGCCGTTGTGGTACCAGTTCGGCTTGCACACTGAAAAAATTAGATACAGCATTGACGACCTTCGTTTCTGTCGGTATTCGGCGATGTAATGTTGTGTTTGTCGTGCTTGTTGTAGCAGTGGTGGCGGTAGTGGCGGTTGTGTTGTTTTCGCTGTTATCGCTGTGTTGTGCTTTGCTGCGCTACGTTGCGCTCGGAGTCGGTTACGTGTCGACGCGGTGGTGGGTGTGTGAATGGCGTTGCAAACACAAATCAGAGCCGATGGGAGATCATAAGGCGGCTACGAGATCATCTCCCTCATCGGGGCCGAAAATTGCCGGTTCTCTTCGGTCGATTGGATCGAAGTCGCGGTCGTAATTAATTGGAGGAGTTCAACGAGAGCGGATGTCAGCCGCTCTCTTTTTCGCTCTTGTTCTTCTGATTTATCTGTATAACGCCATTTCCGTGGTGTTCAGTGTTCAGATTCTCGTATACGAGTAAAGAGTGTACACATGTAAAATAACTTAGAATACAAGCTGTCTTAAAATAAGGCAAGCGATTCAACTTAGGTTCACTCGGTTAATACGGTTGATTAGGCTTCGGCGAAGTGCCGTTTAAATAACATTTTTCGGTTTATCGGCATTCAAGGTTCGTCGTGGGTTTTTCTTTTCAATCAATGCTAACCTGGGTATGATTAAATCGAAATTATGTATTGTAAAAAATCAGATACTCTCTCTCTCTCTCTCTCTCTCTCTCTCTCTCTCTCTCTCTCTCTCTCTCTCTCTCTATGCGAGGAGATAATTTCGCTTGATTTTCTCATGCATACGTAAGATGCGTAACGCTAATGGGAAATCTATCGGTTGCAGTTACAAATTATCTTTTCTTCATAACCAATTAGTCAAAGGAACGTCCACCGATTCTGCTTTCGCGGTCGCTTCGCCGGAGCCTAATGTATAAAATATGCGCGCGGTTGCTCAAAAGAAACGTCGACCTCCCTCAAAAAAAGAATGACAAATCACGCTCTACGTTCTAAAACAGATTGCAGAAGATGATACGACTTCCGGGTAAATCAATGAGAATGTGTAATTGCGACTTGAACTGAAGCTTACAAACTGAAGCCTGGTAATATCGCAACATCGTTCAAAGCTTACAAAAGCACGCGAAAGCGTACGTGCACCATGCTACGTTTCATTTATAAATCATGTATAAATAAATAACGTTTGTCGCACACATTGTCCGGGCTCGATGGGCGAATCGAATGAAACCCGACTCGTCTGTTATTCATACTCGGTCGTCTGCAGTTTGGCGACACTGACGAATTAATGAGCGTACCGGTGTACGCTATTTAAAGTAACAACGTTCGGCTACCGGCGGCGGAATAGTAAGCGCAAGGATCCTTTAATACGAGAAATACGCAAGGCGAAGGAGAAGCATGCCATGACAAGGGCAAAGCAAGCCATTAGCAGCGAAATAAGAAAATACGGTCTACCTCTCTCGCGGGAGTACGTGAAACCTGAGGGAACGCGTCTACCTTTCCTCGGATGCCTCGCGGCATATTCCGAGTTACACGGCGCCTCTCGTAATAACTTTGCGAAAACTAGTTGTACGATAACGACATTAAGATCTAATTAATTTTACTCGCCGGCGACGCCAGATATCTCGAGGACGGCCAACACGCACTTCGGGATAATCGCCGAAGCGATGCTTCGCGTAATGCAGCGAAATGCGAAATACGCGAGCACGAGCGCGAAACACCGGCGGATGTCCCGCGAAAGTATGCGAAAGTTGCCGGTAGAATATGGCGGGGAGAATTGTTGTCGATACAGTCGCGAGCGGAGCTTTTCCGGGACGGAGGAGATAAATGTGCACTTTGACTTGGCATTTGGCGGCGCGCTTTGCGAATTAACCCGCGAATTAAAGAACCTCCGCAAAAAGTGCCCGTTTCTCAGTCCCCGATTTTTAAATTAAATTTTATGCGAAATGATAGCTCATGATAAGACATTAATCACAAAAAAGTTTTACATTGAGCATTACATTTTATCGCACGAATTTTTGCAAAATTCGGTACTTATGGGTTCTTTGAGTTGCTGATTATGAATCTAATGTCAGATTTAAAAAATTCAAGATGGCAGGTGCAACATGGTAGATACACATAGTGAAACAATCATTTACTTTTATTGGAACTGTTATGTTGTGGTATACTTTAAAACCGATAACTTCAGAACTGAATTTTTAATATATAGTGATATGTATATATGTGAATATATGTATGTGAATAATGATATGTAATTATAAAGAGTCACGGAAACTGCAATGAAAAAGCACGTCTGCAATGAAAAAGCTTCTAAATATAACAAATAAAACCATCATCCTTTATGCGTCATGTAATGTATCAATTTGAATTTGATATTTTTTTGATGAAAGAACAATGAAAAAAAACTTTTTCCACTCAAAAATTCGTCGTTGAAAAAATTACTTTCGAAAACCTAATAGAAAATTCGCAATCAGCTAGCCAAGAAAACCACAACATAACAGTTCCAATAAAAGTAAATGATTGTTTCACTATGTGTATCCGCCATGTTGTACCTGCCATCTTGAATTTTTTTAATCTGACATCAGATTCATAATCAACAACTCGGAGAACCCACCCGATACCGAATTTTGCAAAAATTCGTGCGATAAAGCGTTATTAGCGTCATGTTTTCTTAGCATGTAGTGACCACTTTGACCCTCTACATCTTTGAAACCAATCGTATACTCAACGTAAATCTTTTCTGTAATTAATGTCTCATCATGAACTATCTTTTGGCGTAAAATTCGATTCCAAAATCGAGGACCGAAAAACGGGCAAAATATCGATCCTTTTTGCGGAGGTTTTATCCCGCATTAAGGATTCGCCAAAAGATCCCGTCGCTCAATTATCGCCTATATGTGAATTCCTCCGCTATCGACGCTGACGACTTATTAACGATTAAACGTTTCACCGAGAGAAAGAGAGAGAGAGAGAGAGAGAGAGAGAGAGAGAGAGAGAGAGAGAGAGAGAGAGAGAGAAAGAGAGAAAAAAGGTGAGAAAAGACGGGGGGATTCTTTTTAAGCGGGACATAAATTCGCAAGGGCGCATTTTCCTCGGGACATCCCACATGCGAAAAGTCGGCAACGGGGTTAACTTCGGCGCGTTAATTGGAGAAATGAATCTAGTTCGTTCCCAGGTGTTCAGAAAGTACTCCCGAGAGAGGGTAGAAAGTCTCGCGACGGAGGATTAAAATAGGATATTATATAGAAGAAGAAGTAAGACTCACCGTGCTGGTGAAGAGATCAGGGATAGGGCTGTTTGTGTTTCAATTTCTTTTTCGTGTGTGCGTTTGTGTGTGTGTGTGTGTGTGTGTGTGTGTGTGGGTGTGGGTGTGTTTGGTGGTGGTGATGATTGGTGGTGGTAGTTGGTGGCCGGTCTGAGAAAGCCCGCGTCCGGCACTCGCCCCCACGGAGAGCCTCAGTACCTAAATGCGTTTTCTGAACCTGCTATGAGATAAAGGGATAAGGCGACATACGCGTGAAAAGTCGGACAAGGCACCGTTCCGTCTGTATCGCGCGGACGACTCGATTTCCATCCGTCGCGTCCGATAGTGAAAGAGACAGAGATAAAGAGAGAGAAGGGGGGGGGAGAAGCGAGAGAGAAAACTCTGCTCGCTTTTCGGAGCGCGTGATTACACGGTTGGATATCCAGAATTCGGCAATTTTCAGGGTAGCTCGTCGATCACGAGAAGCGCTCCATTGACGAGTCGCGAGAACGGGAGAAATTCCTCGCGGCGAATCGAGATTCGCGCGGCGGAGAAGGAGGGACGCGAGTTTCTACGGATACGGACGATCTTGCTCGGGGTTTTAGCAGCGAGTTAAATTAAAGTCGGCAGCGTTAAAATAAATACACAGCTAAATCGATTACACCGGGATTGATATCCGAAGGATATTCCGGCACGCCTTAGTAGCGGGGCCGGGCCAGCAGAAGGGAGGGATTCCGTGCTCGTTTTTCGCAGGCGAATTTAATTACGGATTGGAATTGGATTTTCGGCCCGCACGCGCACGAGCGGGAACACCGCAGTGGGACAGTAGACGGGCGATATTAACTTGGACTTAATGTTCGAACGTCGATCGCGGTGACTCATGGCGGTTGATGAGTTCTCGATAATACACTGGGAATCCGGACAGTCCGGCTGGCTGGTGTTCGCGGCGGTTAATCGTCAAATCCCTAAGAGTTACCGCCGCGTGCTGGATTAACCGTCCCTGTCCCAGCAGGATCGCGATAACGGATAATTGTTAGCGGGCCCATACCGCACACGTCGCAAGCTTACACGGCGGCTTCGACGTGTTGTCGCTCAACTCCCTCCCCACATTCTCGATCCGAGATGAACCGCGGCCTGACTGACGAAGAGCGTTCGATTATCCGCGCGGGAAAAATTACACCTTCGGCAGGCGGTGCTGGCGCGATTCAGGCACTCGCGAATTCGTGTAATTGCGAGGGACATGCGCATCGGTAGATTGAATGCAGATTTGTTGAAAATAAAACAAGATCGGCAGGACGTGAAACGAGCAAAGTCGCTTTAACACTAGAAGGGCCGGATTTTTGACGACTCCCCTAGAAGGACCTAGAAGGAGCCAATTTGGCTTCAAGTATATTTCCTCGTGAATAACAAATGGAAAGAAACGTATAGGTAATTAAAATTTAACGTTTTGACAATAATATCACTAATTTATTGAACAAAAAGAACTGTTGGTTATATTATATTGAACTTTTTTTTGTCTTTGGTGAAAGACTAAACGTGAAATACAACGCCGTTATGTACCGTACAGGAATGTACGCATTTCTACATAATTTTCTTTGTACATTTATCGCACACAAATTTTTTACACGAACGGTATTTTCCAACTTTATTTATGGTTTTTTTGCAGCTTCTTTTTTATTTGATAAAATGGTCGTTTGCCTGAAGCGTCGGATTCAGTTTCTTCTCCGGTTGAATCAAAATTTTGAGACCTTCGTCTTTGACCAACATATGGGCAAC